ATTCGCACAATGGAATACTATGCTGCATTGAAAAACAAGGAACTCATGCAATATTATTCAAAATGGGTGACCCTGGAGGACATTATGCTGAGTGGGGTATCTCAGTCACAAAAGGACAAATGCTATATGGTGCCACTGTTCTTTTAAGTTTTTTTTAAAAAATATACATATTGCAATTTTTTCCTCACATAACCATGTCCAAGTTTTTGGTAATTAACATCTTGAACTTCTTTGAACTACATGTGCTTTATTACTTTTAACAGGGTAGTTAACTATGTTGTTGTTTTGTTATGTGTCATCAAGTCACTTGTGACTCATAGCGACCCTATGCACAACAGCTCTGAACCCTGCTCTACCTTAAGCCAATTTCTTTGTTTCTGACATATCTACCCTTAGTACTCAAGTCACTGAGCCAATCAATCTCATCCAGGGTTGTCTTCTCTTGAGCTGTCCCTCCACCCTTCCAAACATGATGTCTCTCTCCAAGACTGGTCCCTCCTTGCAACATGCCCAAAGTATGTCAGACAAAGCTTCAAAATCTTTGCCTCCAAGGAGCAGCCTATTTTTACCCTCTCCAGGATGAACCTGTTCATTCTCCTAGAAGTCCATGGTATATTCAGTACCTTTTCCAGCACCACAGCTCAAAGGCATCAATTCTTCTTCTATCATCTGTAGTCATTGTCCAGCTCTCTTATGTATAGCAAGTAATTGCAAAGACCAGGTGCACCTTAGTTTCTAGACTAACATCATTGTTCTTCAGTACTCTGGAAGTCTCTGACAGCATATTTTCCCAATGCAATTCATCTTTTGATTTCCTGGCTGCTGGTACCAAGAGTGTTGATTGTGGAGCCAGGAAAGCTGAAAAAAAAATCTCAATCTCTTCACCATCTATTATGATGCTGCCAATTGGCCCAGCGGTGAAACTCTTTGTTTTCTTGATGTTGAGCTTCAAACCATATTTAAGTCTGCAGTCCTCGACCTTCTGCAGCAAATGCCTCAGGTCCTCCTCAGTTCTGGCAAGCAAGGTTGTGTCATCTGCATAATGCAGGTTGTTTATCAGGTCTTCTCCCAATCCTGATGCCATACTCCTCCTCACAGAGCCCAGTCTCTCGGATGATCTGTTCCACATATAGATTGAAAAGTGTGGAGACAGGATGCATCCCTGGCATACACCTTTCTCTATTTTAAACCATGCAGTGTTTCCTTGCTCTGTTCTGGTCCAAGTATAAGTTTGCATAAGCACAATAAAGTGTTCTGGGATTCACTTTCTTCTCAGAGTTAGCCACAGTTTGTTGTGATCCACAAAATCAAATGCCTTTGTTATTATTTCACTGTTGATAAACTTTTAAGTGGTTTAGCATTTTCTGCTACCATAGACATTATGGCAGTGCACCCTTTTGTGAGCTTTTTATTCCTTCTTTGCTTGCACATGTCTGCAGGTAACACCCAGTGAGCAGAGACAAAATTTTAATAACTTCCTAGTGACATCATTGTCTCTGCTTGCTTTAATTTTTGTTTGCTTGAATACCTTTGGTGACTTTCATTCAGTTTCCTCCACCTAGATTTCATCAACAGAAGAATCTCAAGGTGAGAAAGATGATTTTCAAAATCACTTTCTCCAATCTTAGTTTACCCACACGTCTGCCATAGTGCAGGAGTCTTCTCTTCCCACGGCAGTACTTTGTTAAGAGTTTAAAAGAGAGAATGAGGCTAATCACAGAAATCAAAAGCACTTTCCTAAACAACCACCACCAACAAACTTACCTCACAACACCTGGGGTTTTTTTTTTGTTTTTTAATTTAGTTTCATTTTATTTTGTACTGGTTCACCTGGGTGGGGGTTTTTATATCAAATGAGAAAGATTCCATTAATGGAGCCCACACTCTGCAGCTAATCAAACTCAAACTTACTGCCGTTGAGTCAGTTCCAACTCATTGGGTACTATTGGGTTTCTGAAGCTGTAATGGGCAATGGGAGGAGATTGCCCATCTTTTGCCAGCTGCCAGGAGATCCAAACCGTCAGAAATGAAGAGCCTTTGGGTTAGTAGCACACTCCCTACAGATGACACCACCAGAGCATCATCCTTATACACAGCACATCAATCTCTTTGTTTTGTTTCATTTTATCACCATCACACACTCCATTTTCTAACTTCCTCCACTTACATGCCATCATTCTTACATTTCTGTTTTCTTTTTCCCCCATGCAGACATTTTGGTAAAACTCATATTGCTATACTGTATGTTTGTATATTTTTATAAAGTGATTTTACATTTCCCTGATTTTCCACCTTGCACCATGTTTTAAGATCAATTCATATATGTCATAGAGTCAGCATTCTATGAGATACTCTGACAACTGCCCAGTAAGTACTCCAGAGTGGGAGACCAGCATATTTGACTTATCCATTTGCCTCTTAATATTGGGGAATCAATATTGTAGTGTGCACGTCTTCCTAAGACCTAGGTAAGGGATCCTCCTGGTTGGTGCAAAGTTAACAAGCTTGGCTGGACCCAGTAGAAGGTTCAATTACACTTAGAGAAAGTTGGAAGAGAGATCTGCTGATCTATTTCTCAAAAACTCAGCCATTGCAAACCCTGTGAAAGCATTTTCACTCTGACACAGGTGGAGCTGCCATTAGTCAGAAATTACTCTGGCAAATTGGCCACTAGGTCATAAAAGGAAGGACACTAAAGTATTCTAGACCTACCAACAGCATGTGTTAGGATTCTGGTATTCTCCACCTCACACTCCCACACCCCTCATCCACTCTGGACATTATCCAACCCTATAATTGTATCCATCTGAGAGAAGTGTCAATATTTCATTGTTGTGTTCATTTCCACTCCTTGAATCATCAAAGGATTAGCCAGCCCCTGTCGAAGGACATCACATTTGGTAGAGAGCGGTGAAGGAGAAGACCCTCAAGGAAACAGACACAATCCCTGCAACAGTGGGTTCAAAATCAACACCGATTATGAGAAAGGCACATTACCCTACTCCCAGTCATAAAGTTGGCCTTTCAACATTATTTTCCTTTAACTCTATCCATTTACCTTTCATTCCTAGGTTTTTAACCACTTGTTCTGCTTTCATATATTTTTCTAGATAGTTTTCTTTTTCTCTAAGTTATCTTCACACCATTTTAGACAGATTCTGCCCCTTCTCCACTGGTTTATATAGTTTCTTTTTAAATTCCTTCATAAACAATAGGGAGCTCTGGTAGCCTAGACCATAGAGGGTGCATCGCTAACCCAAAGGCTAAGCTTCTCTGTTGGTTTAAATCCACCAGCAGCTCCAAGGGAGAAAGATGGATAATTCCTTCCATGCAATTAGGAATCTAAGATAAACAATGAGGGTGGCCTCTGAGTCAGTTCAATAGCAGAAAGGGGGACCTTTTTGAGTTGTAGAAACACCTTTTGTATTTGTTCTTGCACCACTGCAGTTTTTGCTACTGTGACTTTGTATGCTTTTACTTGATACATTTTATGACTTTTGCAATTTCAAGAAAAATGTGTCCAGAGGCTTTTGTTGACCTCCCCTCCCCTTTCTTCCACGTTGATTCATTAATGACCTAAGCTGATTTCACTCCCAGTTTTGTGTATCCCTGCTTCCCTCATGTTATTGTTAAGTGGCATTAGTTGTTCGGTTTTGTTGCTGTTAGCTGACTACAACTCACGGCAACCCTACAAACAATAGATGAGAACCTTGCCCTCTCTTCCCCATCCTCACCGTCCCTGCCATGCCCAAGCCCACTGCTGCCGCCACTGTGCCAGCCCATCTCATTAAAGGTCTCCCTCTCTCACTGACCTGATGTCTTTTTAAATGGCCTGGCCCCCCTCCTGACAATCTTCCTTAGGAAACTAACCTCATAGTTTATTTTTTAAAAAGTTCATTATATCCTCAGCTTCAGGGAAACAGTAGTTTATCCAGACATAGATTAAGATACGGATTTTTATTTACTAGAAGGCTCTTGCCCATGCCCACCAGGACCCCAGTAGAGTGGACCAGCCTGGCTTTATTTGCTAATGGGAAGTAAAAAGAATTTCCAAGAAGATCAGTATACAACTTTTAAATACTTGGAGACAAGCATTCTGAAGTAAAATAGAAGTGCTTCTGTTACAATCTTGTACATGATTTCTTGTATATTATCTTGTGCCTCTGAAGAAAAGTGTCATTGCTTTCCTTGCATCATCATCCATTTAATAAATTCTCATGTTCTTTACCTCAAGCAAGATGCAAAGGCTGTCTGTTTTTAGGAAGAACTGGGCTTTCACCTTAGCCTGGAATCATGACTCTAGTATGCTCCATCAAGTTCTTTCCAGTGAGCAGCACTCGCCACCCCTAGTCCAACAAGCAGATCTGTCTCTTTAGGAACGACTCAACCGCCGGAGCAGGAAGCTCAGAAAGGACATCAGGAAACGTCGGCGACGCAAAGCAAAGGAGGAAAAGAAACTGCAGGTGGGTTCCTCAGATTCCTGGGGAGGACACCCTTGGGGTACCCTCGGGGGCTCTTTTCTTCTGTAGGGAACAGCCTGATGTGGTAGGAAAAAGTCTTGCAGGCTGAAGACCTGCTGCATATGGCCTTGGGAACTGCCAGCCAGATAACTGAGTGGGGAAGGTAAGCTCTTTGAACTTCATGTGACTTAAATGAAAACCAGTCCTTCTCTGCCTGGTTCATGGGGGGACATATGTCTCCTCTATTAAATATTACTTCACAAACTGTGAATCTCTATCTTCCATCTCCAACAGTATACCTTTCTCTTCTTGCTCGTTGTGTGGACTCTCTCCTCACCCTTTGGCCAAAGAGGCCTAAGGGTGGCAGTGAGAGTATACAGTTAAGTAGGGTGTGTATGTGTGCGTGTGTTTCCCTTCACCATGCATCTGTGAGTGGGTGTATACAAGAGTGTAAGGGGGGGGGAGCATGGAAGGGGGAAAGAGAAGTGTCTCTAAATGTATGAGAAACACCTTTACCTCTGCCATAACCATGACATACAGAGGCCAGCCCATGAGTGGAAAAGGACTGAGGAACCGGCATTCCCATTTGGAGTATTTAGAGGCTGGGAAGGGCCAGGAAGGGCTGTCTGACACTGACCTTAGAGTCTTTAGTTTGGGGTAGGCTGCGGGAATCGCAGGCTGGAGGCTGAGCTGGCGAGCAGGCACCAAGCCAGGGGGCAGCTGAACACCCTCCCTCCCTCAGCAGCAGCTGGACCTGCTGGAGGACGCGCAAGCAGTGAAGGCCAGAATCTCGGACCTTTTGAGGGAAATAATCCAGCTCAACAGCCTGGTCACTGATCTGAACAGGATGGCCAAGCAACTAGAGGCCAACAAGCTAAAGGTGCAAGCCCTGAGGTGCTTTCCAAGGGCGGGGGTTCTCAGAATAGGAGGTCCTGCAGACTCCTCCGGGAGGTGTTTGAGGGAGGAGCTTCTCTCTATGCTGACAGTGGTTTGTCCGAGGTGCCATAATGTTGCTCCAGAAGAGCAGAGTGCACAGGAGAAATGATACTTCCCCTCCCCCTAGTTCTCAAGATGACTTCCAAAGCAACCTCCAAGAGTAGGCTGGGGAGGTTGTCCACAGGTGACAGGAGCACGACAACCAGTTGTGATTGTTAGTTTCTATCTCTCTCTCCCTCTCTCTTCTAGGACGCCCGAACCTTACTGGACAGGTATGAGCAGTCTCTTCTTTCCTCCCCATAATACATAAACCTATTCAAAGCCATATTTAGATATAATAAGGTCTAGAAATTCAGTGCTCAGCCAGCTTTTATATTTCCATGTTGTATGGCCAGCATAAAATGCAACCACATATACTGTTGTTAGGTGCCATCAAGTCGAGTGTGACTCACAGCCACTCTATGAACAACAGATCTGAACCCTGTCCTATCCTGTGTCATCCTCACAATCTCTGACACACTGGAGCCCATTGCTGTAGTCACTATGGCAATCCACTTGGTTGAGGCTCCTCCTTTCTTTCACCAGCCCTCCACATTTCCAAGCATGAAGTCCCTCTCCAAGGAATAGCCTCTCCTAGCAACATGCCCAAAGTATGTGAAACGAAGCTTCATCATCTTTGCCTCCAAGGAGCACTCTGGCTGCACCTAACAAAGGTGTATCTGTTTTGGCCATCCATGGGATATAGTACTTTAACACTACAGTTCAAAGGCATCAAATCTTTTGTCATCCTTATTCATTGTCCAGCTTTCAAGATGCACAGCAAGTAACTGAAAAGACTGTGGCCATATACTGATCATATACTGAGTGATCTCTTTGTTTTTAGGAGTGTTTCAGAAACTTGTGGCCTTTATCATGAGTTGGGGGAAAGAGCCAGTGGATCACCTCTTCAGTCACCTTCGGCACCTCTGACATGCTCACCCCTGGGGTACCTCATCTCTGATTCATCTCCATCTCCTCTTTCCTTCTTCCTCCCTACCCAAGCCCCTGGCCCCTGTTAGGTCTACTTGGTGCTTCTTCAGGCCTACCATCTCATGAGCATGTCCGTCTTCCCTGCTGCCCACAGCCATGACCTGACTCTTGACCCTGTGAAACTTAGGCGATAGCTACAGCCTCCTTCCTCAACCAGACTCATGCTAATGATCCCTCTGCAGAGGTCAGGACCCTTGATCTCTAGGGACATTCAAGAGACTGTGGTCTGTAAACTGACAGTGGTGCCTTTTTTCAGTCTCACAACGGGATGACAGGAGCTCATCAGTAGTAAGGCCACATGTTGAGAGAAATATTCCTTCTCAAGGAATTGTTGTCTGTTAGGCTCAGCTGGCTCTAGGGTGGTCCCCATGATCCTCACTTCCTGGGATTCAAGCTCTTAAATAGCCCATCCCCTTGAATGTGAACAGGATTTGCTTCTAACCAATGCTGTTAGTTGCAGTCGATTCAGAATCACGCCAACTCCATTTTGCACTTTACTCCCCGGATTTGCCAGGCTGTGACTTTCTGGGAGCAATCATGAGGCTTGTCTTCTGAGGCACCCATGGGTGGATCTAACCAACCAACTTCCTGCACTTAATCATCTGTGTTATCCAGGACATCATTTAGAACATCACAAAAATCACAGGGTGGCACTTCCATGATTAAGTTATGACAAAGATGATGTGATTAGCTACTCTGATTGTGTTATATTTACTGACTCTATGTTGCTAGAAAGCTTACTCTAGAAGCTCTCTCTCTGCTGGTTTAATGAAGTAACTGGCCATGTTTCAAGGACCTGTGGGCAGCCTCTGTGGGTTCTAGCAGCCTCAAGTCAACAAGAAGCTGCAGCCCCGTCTTGCAGCCACAGGAAATGGATTTTGTCAACAGCCTGAGTGATCCTGGAAGTGAATTATTTCCTACTTGAATCTCCAGATAAGAGCCCAAACCAGGCAGCTCTTTCTTTGTCGCCTTGTGAGATGCTAAGGACAAGACTCAGTTAAGACATGCTCAGACTTCTGACCCATAAAACATGTGATTTTTTTTTTTTTTAAAAAAAACCCACAAAACCAAACTGTGTTGCTTTAAGCTGTTAATTTTGTGGTAATTTTGCACAGGAATGAATAGCTAATATAATTAAATGTAAATTATTTATAAAGATGTCATATTTATTTGGGTGAGCAGGGAATGTACCTTATATTTGTGGCTCCAGTGTCTAGTACAGTACCAATAAAATGGAATAAAATGATGTATGAATGAATAAAATGTTTAAGGGCCTCTCTCCAGCCTCATTGTTGAGGATTATAGGCCATCAGTGTGTAGCCAAATTAACTAATATATTCAGTGATAGACTAAAAACACAGGGATTAATTTTAAATTCTAACATCCAACACTTCCGTAGCCATGGGCAATTTATACTTTCTGAACCTCTCAGTCTTCCCTCTTTAAAATGGGGATAATGGTACCTGTGACTTCTTGTTGTTGTTTGGTACAATAGAGCTGGAGCCAACTCATAGCTGACCTGCTGGCGAGTTTTCAAAGGCAGTTATTTGCACAGGAGGAGACTGCCCATCTTTCTCCTGTGGATTAGCTGGTGACCTCGAACTATAAACCGTGTGTGTTCAGGATTGCAGTGCAGCATCTTGCCACTAGGCCACCAGAGTTCACCTGTGACCTGTTGTTTTTGTTGTTGTTGTTAAGTGTCATTGAGTCGCAGGCAACTCATAGCAATCCTGTGAACGAAAGTCCTGGACACCTCCTGTATAACTTTCGTCCTCTCTCCAGGTTCATAGGGTTTCCGGAGGCAAGCTATTATGGAAGTGGATGCCACTCCTGCTTCCAAGCTTGTTTTAACTGGGGAGCTTTACCAAACACTCTCCACCATGGATAACCATTCTCAGATTTGACTCATCAGTGTCACAGTGTGCAGCCTCACAGCAACCACGAGTTATCTCTGTACAGCAAGTGGACATACCAGGGCACCTGTGACCTAGTGTTGGAACAATTACATTTTCTTTATGTATTAGGTGACTGCTGCAGAGGCTCTGCAGAGTGCACATTTAAACATTAATTCCATCATCTTATTCCACTTCCTAAAGCAGGAGCTTATAACCCTGCTACTCAAACAGGACAAACAGAAGGAATAACAAGAGTGTGAGTGGGTTGAATGAAGTAGCATAGATGCCAGACGCTGTGTGAATTCAGAAGAGAAACCCGTGTGAACCTGGGAAAGTCAGGAGAAACTTTGTAGGGGAGGATGAGATGGATTTGACAGGTGAGAGACAAAGTGGAGAGCATTCCAGGTCAGAGTAGCTACACAGATGAGAGCACAGAGGTGGGAATAAGCCACAGCATGTTGGTGGAAGTATGAGGAGACTGATCTAGTTAGTCTGGAATGTTCAGGAATGGGAAACACTGGAAACTAAGGAGGAGATTATATGGGTGACTCCAGGACATGGAGAGCTATCAAGTTTTTAAGTAGGGAGTAAAGGAACAAAAGTAGTGTTTGCCAAAAAAAACAGTTTTGCCCTTGCACAGAATGGACTGGAGGGGTGGGGTGTCAGAGGACTAAGGTGGGAGATAGCCTAGGAGTGTAGCTGTACAGAATAAGAAGCTACAGTTAGCAAACAAGAAGCTTCAGGACTTACAGAAACATAACTCCAAATTTAAGAAGAATAAGACTGCTGTCAGGGACCTTTCTAGAAAACTGAGAAGCAGCAATGTCAATCTAGAGACTAAGGTGCACCTAATCCAATCCATGGTCTTTGCAATTACTTGTTGTGCATCAGAGACCTGGATAGTGACTAAGGATGATAGACGAATTGATGCCTTTGAGCTGTAGTACTGGAGATTTGGAAGCTCTGTCTCACACACTTTGGGCAGGAGGGGCTGATCCTTGGAGAAGGTCATCATGCTTAGGAGGATGGAGGGGCAGTGCAGGAGAGGAAGAACCTGAATGAGACAGATTGATACAGTAACTAGGGCAATGAGGGAAGGTGTATCGGAGTCAGTGAGACTGAGACTGGCTCAGGACAGGCAAGGCTTCAGAGCTATTATACATAGGGTCCCGATGAGTCACAGGCAAGTTGATGGAACATAACAACAACAAAAAATAAGAAGACATTTACCTAGAAGTGATGAGATGAAAACCAGTAATCCTCACATCCTAGATAGGATTAATGTCACACAGAGAACTTGTCCGCAAGTACGCTACCAATGAAGGGAGTACTCATGAAGTCTCTCTACTGCAGGGTAGTTCTGCATGTGCTTGCCAGGTCCTCTGACCTGTTCTGAGGTGACCACAGATGACTAGGCCTGGATGAGCATCTGGCCTAGAGTATCCTAAAGCTGAACAGTAGATTGTCAAAAAATATCTCATGGGGTTCTCTCTTGGAAATTCAAAATGGCTCTACAGTGAGTTAATCTATCATTAGTGGGCAGTGAGAACAGAAACAAAGGGTGTCTGAACTTCACTCTAGCAGCCTAAGTGAGAAATATATGTTGTTATTATTATTAGCATTTGCTGAATCTCCAGCTTTTCCCTGTGGCCTAGTTGTATGCCACCTACCTCATCTCCCTTATCTCCAGCTTCCCACATTGTTATAAGTTGTCAATGAGTTAGTGCTCAGTTCATGGTGACCTCATGCATAACGGAATAAAATACTGCCTACTGATGGGTCATAGTTTGAACCTTTGATACACAGGGTTTTTATTGGCTGATTTTTGGAAATAGATTACTAGGTCTTTCTTACTAGAACATCTTGGTCAGGAAGCTTCAATGAAACTTGTACAGCACTATAGCAACAGATTATAATTGGTGGTTTTGTATGATGTAAACTGGTTTTGAATTGAATTCCAGTCAAGAACACCACTGAACCATCAATACTTTCAGAGCTTTGTTCCTCGAGGCATTGGCTAAATGGTGGAAAACTCCATTTCCCCATTTTTCATGTGTGTTCTTATAATAAATATTTCCACTATTTGAACAAACTTGAGTGGGTCTCTGTTCTTTGTAACAGAAGGAAAAGCTATAATATAAGCTGTGTGTGTGAGGGGGAAAGGCGATGATACTTATAGATGTTAGAGCAAATACACAATGTCCTCTGGCATCGTTAACAGGAGTTAGGAGAATCAGGGTCCCAGCCATTAAACCTGCAGTCCTGACTCCAGGGCATGCACAGTATGGAGGGTCACAGTCACTGTGTTTTAGGATCCATCCATTTCCTTTGCTCTGGTTCTACATTCTAGGAGCAAGTAAACTCCAAGGAGAATTAGTCTAGAGGAAGAGCAGGTCCTGAGAGTTTCATGGTTTTATTTCTCAGTGTAAAAATTAGAAAATGTTTTTCTGAATCTAAATCACTCATGCTCACCAGTCTTCGCCAGGAAATCTGGAGGAGAGCTGCTTGGCCCACTGCCTGGAAGAGATCCATATTTACTCCCATTTCTAAGAAAAGTGATTCAACAGAATGTTGACATTATAAAAAAATCATTAATATCATTTGCAAGCAAAATATTGACAAATATCATAAACAGCTAGAACAGTATATTAAGATGAGAATAGTCAGAAGTTCAAGCTGGGTTTAGAAGAGTCTGTAGCACCAGGAATATCATCGCTGATATTAGATGGATCCTAGCTAAAAGGAGAGAATACCAGAAGAATGTATACTTGTATTTTATTGACTATGCAAAAGCATTTGACCATATAGATCATAACACTATGGCTAACATTGAGAAGAATGGGAATCCCAGAACACTTAATTATGCTCATAAGAAACCTATACCTAGCCCCAGAAGTTGTTGCCTAAAGAGAACAAGGGAACACTATGGTTTAAAATCGGGCTTTTCTGATTTGTATGTGTCAAGATCGTATCCTTTCTCCATAGCTATTCAATCTGTACAATGAGCAAATTATTTGAGAAAGTGGACTCTGAAGAGAAATGTGGCATCAGAACCTGAGGAAGACTCATTAACAACCTGCATTATGCAAATGACAGAGGAGTAAAACTTGAAATGCTTGTTGCAGAAAATCAGACTACAGCCTTCAATATGGATTGCATCTTCATCAGTGCACCAATAAGTAAGAACATGATAGATGGAGAAAATATTGAAGCTGTCAATTATTTCACCTACTTGGACCCATAATCAACACCCTTGGTACCAGCCAACAGTCAGGAGATCAGGAGACATATTTCATTGGATAAATCCACTTTCGGGGACCTCTCAAAAGTTGTTGTTGTTGTTGATGATAAGTGCCATCAAATCGTAGAAGACTCATAGGAATCCTATGAACGAAAGACCTGAACACTTGTATAACTTTCATAATTTCTCCATGTTCATAGAGAAAGTACTGAGGACTAATGAGGTCATTTGAAGATGGAGGTGCCCCTGACTCAGGCTATGGTCTTTTCAATCACTTGTTTTGCATTTGAGAGCTAGAAAATAAATAAGGATGACAGAAGAAGAATTTTTGCCTTTGAGTTATGGTGTTGGAGAAGAGTACTGAATATCCCATGGACTGCCAAATGAACAAATAGATGTGTCTTAGGAAAAGTATGGTCAGAGTACTTCTTGAAGACAAGGGTGGCAAAGTTTCATCTCACATACTTTGGGCATGTTGCTAGGAAATGTTATTCATTAGAAAGGGATATCGTTCTTAGAAAGGTGAGTGTGAGCAAGAGAGGAGAGGCCCCTCAAAAATGTTGATTGGTAAAGCAACTACAGCAATGGGCACAAGTGTATCAGAGATGATGAGGATGGCACAGGATAGGACAAGGTTCAGATCTATTGTCTTTATGCTCACTTATAAGTCATATTTGACTTGATGGCACCTAACAGCAAGTCACTCATGAAGAGTGTGACCAGCATTAAAATATTTACCAAGACTGACTTGTGACCCAATTTACAAACAAAACTATGTAGTATGGTGACTAAGCACTTTGGTAGTGGTTAAAAATCCCTGGCTCAGCAAAGAACCAAAATTTACCCATCTTCAAATTTGTCAGATTGAAAATGGGGGAACTAGTTACCGTTAAGTAAAGGGTTTAAACTAAAGGGCATAAAAATCATGATTATTTTAAGACTTATGGTGACAAAGGCAATGGTAATGATGACACTTACAGATATTAACTCAGGGGTTTTTTAATTTGCACATCTGAGAATCATCTGCACATCTTGGTTAAGGTAGGTGTTCAGGGGTTCCCAGAAGGCTGGGATCATCATTCATACCCATTTACCAATAGTTATTTTTAAAAGACCCAGCCAAAGCCAATACAATCAAACAAACAAAAAAGTACAAGGCACTTTTTTATGCAATTGCAGGTCAATTTGAAGTTAATTTTCACATGTGGTGTGAGGTCAGGGTCCTAGATGTCTCTCTTTGCCCAGCTCCACTGTAGTCTTGGCTCCTTGGACAAAGTCTCAGATCATCCAATTCTTCCAACTGCCCCATCTGGGAGTTCTGGTGGCCTAGTGCTGCCAATCCTAAGGCAGGAGGTTGGAGTTGACCAGCTGCTCCATGGGAGAAAGAAAGACAATCTCTTCTCGTGTGATTTACAGTCCCTGAAAATCTCGCTTTAGAGTCAGCAAGAGTCAGTTCTGACTCGATAGCACACAATAGCCCCTACCTGGGATCCTTTAACCCAGCACAAGGATATGCTGTGTCTGCTCCCACAACTGAGTTATTTATGTCTTTAAACCCACAGTACACTGAGGTACACAGCGGTGGTAGTAAATTAAGTACACATGAGTCCTTGGGTTATGGTTTATGGTCATGCCTCCTTCCAAAGACCCTCCATTTTCATCAACCACAATTGATTTCACCAGGAGGAAAGAAAAAGTTGTGTTTGCTTGAAGACCATGGAGATGACCCCGTGTCCCATGGGTCAATCCTCTTTCACCTCTAAGATGCTTTTCCTCATTCATCTTATTCATCCTCTAGATTCATCTTCATCGAAAAGCCTTCTTTTGCCCCTTTCCCACCTTGTATATGGGTTTTGACCCTCCTTTGATCCCAGAACACCCATGTCAAAACCCATCACCACACTGCTGTGCTGTCATTTCCTCCATCTCTTCCTGCAAGCTCCCTCACAGACAGTGCAAGTTTTATAAACATTTTCTTTTTTTACTTCACTAGAGGCTATTACAATGCTTGAGACATAATTGGCACAAAATGTTATGAGGAAATGCACCCTAATATTGGGAAGACACCAAGATAAAAAGAGATGAGTTTCCTTGCTCAAGAACACAGTTAATCGATGACAAGGCTTGATTTTGAACCTGGGTGCTTTGACTTAGTATAAAGGACTCCACACAGTTACTTCTGTGTCAGTGGTGAGAAGGGCAGGTGGTGGCCAAGTCCCCACATTGGGTTGAACATAATCTCATCTTTTCCCTTGTCAAAATCCTATCTCCCATTTTATCATTTAAGGCAGTGATTTCTATTCCACGTCCAAACTAAGGTCAAGCGCACACAAAGCTGTTTAAACCTTATACCTTGAGAACGGAAACATTACTCCCTCAGGAGCTCAGGGAGAAATTGGACCCTCTGCCCCACAGTCCAAAGAAGGGAAAGATCGTCCCAGTGAAGGAGGCTGTGAAGGTGTAGATGGGCTCATGGGTGGCAGCATTGACAAAGGTCACCCAACCCACCTCATAGTCCAGAGACACCCGTACTTTCTGGGGCTGCTCTTCTAGGGCCAGCTGTGTGGGGAAGGAGCCCAGGGCTGACACAAAGCCCCACGCCAGCCTCACCGCCCACACCCCCTCCTCAGGCCGCAGCCGCAGTTTCCCCTTTCGTTGCATGCCCTCATTCACTACACCCATGGTGCAGCTGCCCCCATGCGCTAAGTCTACACTCACCACCCATGTGTGTCTCCCCCCAGTGAAGCCTTCGTGGGCCAGGACGCAGGTGGCCCAGTCAAAACGCTGAGGATTGTCCGGCGAGTTCTGCCATTTGTAGGAGAACCGAGCCCGCTGGTGGTCTTCAGACAAGAGGAGTTTGGGGTGGGAGGTCTGGGGATCTAGAGAAATGTGAGCTATGGAGAAAACCAAAAGGACACAGGTGTCAGCAGACATGTTACTACAGTTAAAGAAGACCCTGAAACCTCACTGGCACCCACCTGCTAATATTAACCCAGCTGCTGGTGTTACATGTTTCTGACAATGTGAGCAGTGCCTATGCAGACCAACAGCCTCGCCCTCACTGGGCAACACTTTGAAAGGGGGGTGGGTAGATCTCAGGCCCTCCCATGTCTACTAAATCAGTCTTCATTTGAGAAAAATCCTCAAAACAACTATGAGATATCATCTCACCCCAGTCAGAATAGCAAAATTTAACAGAACAGCAAGCAACAAATGCTGGAAAGGTTGTGGAGAAACTGGAACCCTGATTCACTGTTGGTGGGAGTGTAAAATGGTGCAACCACCGTGGAAAGCGGTGTGGCGCTTTCTCAAAAAGTTGCAAATAGAGATACCAATTGACCCAGCAATTCCACTACTGGGAATATACCCTGAAGAGACCATAACTGACATCCAAGCTGATATATACACACCCATGTTTATTGCAGCTTTGTTCACAATAGCAAGGAGTTGGAAACAACCTAAGTGCCCATCAACAAACGAATGGATAGAGAAGCTCTGGTATATTCACACAATGGAATACACACTGCATTGAAAAACAAGGAACTCATGCAATATTATTCAAAATGGTTGACATGAAATTATGCTGAGTGAAATATCCCAGTCACAGAAGGACAAATATTGCATGGTGCCACTGTTGTAAAAGACGACTGACCTTGGGGTTGGGAAAGTCTGAGTAAGATGGGTTCAATAATGTATACTGCATTGAAACAGACAAGGGAGAAAACTGTTTAAAAGAGATATGTGATTAGGTATTTCTGTCATGACAGGAGTCTAGAACAATGGCTACATGGTGGAGTGGACTGGGGGAGGGTTTGTAAAACAATGAAAGAATTTTTCTTTTACTTTTCCAAGAGGGTAGTGTTATGGGGGAGGGGGAGGCTTGGGAGGGGGAAAATGTGCAACAATGAATGAATGGAAATCCAAAGCCTCTGTAAATTTTTACTGAAATTAATAATAAATTTAAATTTAAAAGAAAAAGAAAAATCCTCAGGAGGCACCTTAGAAGACAAGAGGAGCTCAGCTACCCAGGCTCTCACTTCGTTCTGTGCAGTCTTCTAGCAAGAAGTTCTGCTCACTTTAACCTAATTAGCTTCCAGAGCCTATTCTAGTTCCCCCTTTCCTGCTGACAACACCACGTGTTCTTTCCCTCAGAAGCGGCAGACATTCTTCCCTCAGTTGCAACTCCCTAACTCCATACTTCTTTGTTCTCATCAGGCTCTATGGCTTACCCACCGGGTCTTCATTCCACATCAAAATTCTAAAACCATCAGAGTCTGAGGACCACATTTTAACATCAAAATAATCTGCATACTATCCAGAAATTGAGAAAGATCCACACATTCAGATCTATTTGCTGATTGGAAGACAGAACTAAGAACGTGCTTATCAACTCGGATCAAAGTTTTCCTGATCCAGGAAGACTTCGCTGACAGGCTTTATTCCATTGTCACTTAATCTTGTTATCCTCTCAACACATACACATTCAGATTTAGATGTTAGCTTCAGGCCAAGTATTGGGGGGGGGGGGAGGTGCGTGTGCACACACACACCTTGCGTACACACCTTGCATTTCTTCATGGTTCTCCTGAGAGTTTTTCAAAACTACATAATTACATTCATTACATATTATATTGATTCAGCTCAGTGCTGTCGAGTCAGAACTGACACATAGCTGACTCTCCAGCAGGTTTTCTGAGGTTATAAATTGGACAGGAATAGACTGTCCATCTTTCTCCTGCAGAGCTGCTGGTGAATTTGAAACTCTAGAGAGGTACAATTTTGGGTTAGCAGAGTTCTCATAGCATATTAACCTCTCTCTCATACACACTAGACTATTACAGGCCCCATGGAGAATCCTACAAAATTGCCTCTTCCGTTTTATGCTCCTCATCCCCTCCTATCCTTACCTGGCTCATAGTCCAACTCGAAGCAGAGCTTTTCTGTCACAAAAACATAAAACAGAATGAGATTTCATTAGTCTCACAAAAATACAGAGCATTTAGTGATGAGGACACCCAGGTCAGGGGAAGGGAAGAGGCAAAGAGAAAAATGAAAGTTGGACCATACTTATCTGATGATTCAAATTTGCACGAGCACTAGAATCACTTGGGGCACCTGATAAAATACAAGAGTTTCTGATTTGCTGTGCCTGGTTGAGTGGGGCTGAGAATCTTCATGTCTAAGCAGTTCCCAGAAGAATGCTGAACATTTTGGAGTCTAATTTCAAGATCCACTGCACCAGCCTCTCTTGCTCACCTCAGCAACCTCGGTGTTCAATACCAGGACACAGTGGATGCCCCAGAATTCCTGCTTACTGAATGAATGTCACTGCTGTTAGGTTGTCATCAAATTGATTCCAACTCTGTGAGCTCTGGTGGTCTAGGGGCAAGAAGCTGCACTGCAATCCCAGAGGTGAGCTGTTCGAATCCACCAAACGCTCTGCTGGAGAAGGAGGGACAATCTCCTTCTGTTAGATCTGATTTGACAGTACACACAAAAATTAATTCCAACTCATAGTGATCTCATGGACAACAGAACAAAACCCTGCCCAATCTGTGCTACCCTCACAATGGTTCCCATGTTAGAGCCAATGTTATAGCCGCTGTGTCAAACCATCTCATTGAGAGGCTTCCTCTTTTTCACTGTGACTTTACTAAGCATGATGTCCTTCTCCAGAGAGTGGCCCCTTCTGACATGTCCAAAGTCCATGAGCCAAAGGCACTCTATCCTCACTTTTCAGGAGCATTCTGACTGTACCTCTTCCAAGACAGATTTGTTTGTTCTTCTGGCTGGCCTTAGTGTGTTCACAGGATTCCTCACCAACACAGTAACTCAGTTATCAATTCTTCGGGGTCTTCCTTAGTCATTGTCTAAGACTTCACACATACATGTTAGGCGACTATTCTGGTTCCCCCTTCCCTGCTGATGGACTGAATCCTTCTCATCATACCTCAGAAGTGGCAGACATTCTTCCTTTAGTTTAAACTCACTAATTCTTCACTTCTTTGTTCACAGAAGGCTCTCTGGTTTGCCCACCAGTTAATTCATTCTACTTCAGTAATTCTTGTGCTTCCAATCCAAGGGCAGGTAGTTTGAATCCACCAGCTGCTCCATGGGAGAAAGATGGCATTCTCCTCTTGTGTGATGTACAGTCTCTGAAAACCCACTGGAGGGTCAGCTGGGAGTCAGTTCCGCCTCGATGTCACCTAACAACAATTAGATGACCGGCAGGGATCAGGTGCACCTTAATCTTCCAAGTAGTATCTTTGTTTTTTAACACATTATAGAGGTATATGGCACTAAATTTGCCCAGTGTAATCCCTCATTTTATTTCTGACTGTTGCTTCCTTAAGTGTTGATTACAGATCCAAGTAAAATGGATGGACAAATGGGTTAATTTATTTTTCCTTCTTAGAAATAGTTTTGAACATCATTGAAGACCAGACGTTTTATTACAGTACATTTCCTTCACTGTTAAACCATAAATTCTTTTAGTTTTGTTATTTTAAGTTTTTATTTGTTTACATCATTGGTTTTAAAAAATTGCTTTGCATACAATTATTTGTTTACATTGTGTTTTCTTCATGTACATTGTTGGTGGGGGTATTTTCCCCCTTCTTCCATCCACCAACTCCATGATTCCATGATTTCCCTCATCCCTGCCCTCTCCCGTTCCTTCGGATATCCATTATACAGTATTTGTTCTTATGTACCTGAGTTAGTTCACTCAGCATAATGCTCTCTAACCTCTCCCATGTTGTATAGTATTTTTAAAAACTGTTGCTCCTGAGTGCTGCACAGTGTTCCACTGTGTGAATGCACTGCAATTTCTCAATCCTGTCATTTGCTGATGGACATTTGGGCTGTTTCCATGTTCTTGTTATTGTGAATAATGCTGCTATGGGCATCAGTGTACAAATCTCCATTTGTGTCTCAGTTCTATTTTCCTCAGGGTATATTCCTTGCAGTGGAATAGATTAGTCATACAGGACCTCTGTTCAGTTTTTTTAGGAAACGCCAAACTGCCTTCCAGGGTGATTGTACCATTTCACAATCCCACCAACAGTGTATGAGAGTTCTAATCTCTCCATATCCTCTCCAACATTTACTGCTTGCTGTCCTATTAAACTTTGCCACTGAAACTGGGGAGAGATGGTATCTCATTGCAGTTTTTATTTTAATCTCTCTTATTGCCAAAGATTTTGAACATTCTTCAAGTGTCTGTTGGCCATCAGAATGTCTTCCTCTGTGAAAGGTGTTTCCATATCTTTTCTCCATTTTGTAATTGGGTTATCAGTCTTCTTCTTGTGGAGGTCTTGTACTATTCTTTAAGTTTTCATTATGAGATCCTTGTCTGAAATGGCATTGCTAAATGATTTTTCTCAGTCAGTAGGTTTTCTTCACACCATATTTTTGCATATGACTTGCCATGCAAATAACATGCACATATATATAACACACATAACATGTATAGGAAACTAATGTGCAAGTTGTTTTGTTTTTATTATATACTGTTGAGTTGAAAGGGACTCAAAGCTGATCCTCCAGTGGGATTTCAGAGACAGTTAACTGTCTGGGAAAAGACTGCCTATCTTTTTCCCACAGAGCAGCTGGTGGATTCAGTTGTATGTGTTTGGGTTGGCAAGGCAACTCCTTATCACCAAGCCACCAGAGCTCCCTGATTTGCAAGAGGCTGTACAAAAGGTAAATAGCATGTGTGTTATTTACATACACTATAGTACTGGTGGGAAATGGACATATGAGGAAAGATCTCATAGGGTGTTTGTGAGTAAGTCATTTTGAAACTGAAAGTACCATTCATGATGTCAGTGCGGCAAGGGAAGGTACTGACACAGCACCACACCCTGACTCCCGTTTCAAATCTCCTTCCATGTGATTTAATGCCTCTGAAATCTTGCTGAAGGGTCAGCTATGGGTTGGTTCCAACTTGACAGTACACAACAACATCCTCCTCTCTTATACTACTTCATGTTCTGGGAAAGGGGGCACACAGTGTCTACCAGGCTATTCAACTCTGAAAGCCATACCAACAGAGGGAAAATGAGGGAAGAGAGAACTACCACACAATTAAGATAAATATTGTTTTCTAAAAAAAAGGTAAATATTGTTGTTGGCTATTGATGATCAGTGTTAATTATCATAAAAATATAAATCATATAAAGTTTACTGTGGATTTTTAAAATTAAGAGTGTCAGACTTTGTTAATAATTTTTTTAATTGCTTGATGCAATTGGTTAGATTTACTTGTTTAGTTATTTTTAACATCAGTAACTACTAAGAGAACAAACAGGTTCATTCTGGAGAAGGTGAAGCCAAGCTGCTCCTTGGAGGCAAGGATTCTGAAGCTTTGTCTGACATAATTTGGACATGTTGCAAGGCAAGATCAGTACTTGGAAAGGGACATCATGCTTGGCACGGTGAAGGGAAAGCACAGGAGAGGAAGACCCTCGATGAGATGGATTGACTCAATGACTGGGGATATGGAGGTAGGTGTGTCAGAGACAATAAGGTTGTCACAGGATAGAGTGGGGTTTAGGGCTGTTGAACATAGTCACTGTGAGTTGTAGGCAACTAACTCAATGGCACATAATAATAACAACAACAACAACATTTTTATAGAAATCTATACTCTCTCCCTTCACTGTTATATCATCTTGATTGGCAGATGTTATTTTTTAAAATCTTCAGATAAGGAAGAGGCACAGAGGAACAAGCCTTGCCAAAGCTCACACAGTATCATTCAACAGTGAAGCAAGGCTATTCCTAAACCTGGATTTTGTGTCCACCGGGTCCTCTTACCCAGAAACTTCTTCATTTCCTTCTGCAGCGGGAGGGCCTGCTGGGGAAAGTTTCGAATCCTCTGGCCCAGATCAGGGGACACAGCCTCTGGTTTCCTGAACTTTCTGTTTTCACATCTAGGGACACAGAAATGGGTCCATAAGCCACACACAGATCAGCAGGTAATAATTTTGTGGTTTTCATTAGTCTGGTGGTTCAAATTCCCTGGGACAAGGTGAATCTGGGGATCTTCACTGTTGATGCCTCCAGATTCACCTAGTTTCCAACTTCCGATTGGGAATGGATGTGCCAATTCCTGTAGAGAGATAAGCTTCCTCAAGGATAGACCCCCATTGTCCATTTTGGGATGTAAGTGTGTAGCTAGCTATACATCAGAATGCATACGGGCATATTAAAGCTTACATGTGAATTTATGTCCTTAACATGAAGATGCTATCTATTTGCATAATGATAACTAGGCGCGTGATGCACATGTGTGGGCAAAGAAGATAAAAACTGTATCACTTACCTTAGTAGAGTGCTTCTGATATCCTAGGGGAGGAAGAGAGCAGGTATTCAATGTCTACTACTCCCATTTGTCTTATAATTAGAAAAAAGATACCACTTTCCCAACCTTGGATAGAAACCACCACATGCATAGAATCATACATTTTAGAACATTCAAGGCTTCCCAGGGATCATAGTGCTCACTTCTTGATTGGACAAACGTAGAATCATAGAGTGACCTACACCCGTTAAAGGCAATAGTTAAGTCTCATGCCCAGGAATTGTGTTTTAGCCCAGACTACTTCCCCTGCATCATGGTTTTCTGATCCCTTGTTGGGGCCCTAGTAGCTACCTCTCTTCTTCAGTATGAAGGAGTGAAATTAAATTGGAAGATCTTCCTGACTAGCAGATGATAATATAAGGAGGTTATAAAGAATAGTTTGCACTGGAAATAACAGTTGACATTTGTTTGGATAGCACTAAGTACTTCTCAAAGTACTACTTTCACTTCCAGCTTCTCATACTATCCCTGTGGGGTAGTTAAGGAAAGCACTACTCCTACATGATGGGTGGTGGAATGGAGAGTCAGAGACCAGAGAGGAAAGTGACCAGAGAACTCCTGATGAAGTATGGACTAGAATTCACACCTCTGGTCCTGTGACTCATATTCCATTTGGAATACAGAGATGGCTAAGCCAAGACAAGGCATCTTAGAGATGCAATAATCCTAGCAGAGCCAGGGGAAGTACAGTGAGTATGGCTTTGGGTCTCACCGTCAGGAGTTCTCTTGCAGACCTCTCATTCTTCTCCTCCAACTCTGTAATCAGAGTACTGAACCGGCACATCTCCCCAGTGACCAGAAAATTAAACTCTTCCTGTTGGCTCAAGATGTCCGCATCCAGTCTCTCCAACTCAGCTAAGAGGGTGTTCTGTTGCACCTCCAGGAACTGGCTCAGATGTGCAAACTCAGAAAGTACCTTTTGTCTCTTGGAAGCCACCTGTGTCTGAAGAGGCAAAAAGAGACCCCAAGACGAAGTTATTTGTCTTCCTTCTCTTCTTACCCCTTCTTTTCCTCTTCCTTATATCATTCCCTTCTGCCTCTTGACCCAGATCTATATCCTCCAGGGTTCAATGATAAAATAAGAACCCTACTCCAATCTCAGACAGACTTAGAACTAATGTCTGGCTCGTAATGATAAAATAAGAACCTTACTCCGATACTCAGACAGACTTAGAACTAACGTCTGGCTTGTTTTTCCTGTTAGCTCATTTCTAGGAGACAGGGTGTCTAGCATTGCCTCAGCACTTTTCTAGAACTTCTAAGGGGGTGTAGGGAAGGGTGGTAGGGCCTACTTTTCGGAAATACATACTATATGCACAGGGCTACTTTATAGAGATTTCTTCATTTAATCCTTACAGAAATTCAGCAAGGCAGTGAGAACTTGTAATCTCCATTTTACATGAAGTGAGAGAGTTGCTTGATGTTATAGAACTAGTTAGTGTCAAAGTCAGGATTCAGACTGAAAATTGCTCAAAGCCCTATATGCTCTTTTGCCCAAGTTTTGGAGAGACAAAGAACCTGAAGAAGATACAGGTTCCAGGGAAGGGGTCCAGAGGAATGATGACCCAGATGGCCTACCAGGAGGACTTGCAGCCTTTGGTTTTCTCTTGACTGGATCCCTTGAATCTCATCTCTTTCTTTCTTTAGACACTCAAGACATTTCTGTATTTGTTCCTGGGGAGAAGAAACATAAAATAATTAAGATGCAAAAAAATATGATTTGTCACCTTATCCAACCTTCTACCTCCAGGAAGAAAATGACCCAAGGAAAAGAGTTACTCCCTTAGTGGACAATGTCTGGGCCTTACTCATCCTTGATCGTATAGTCCAGAGTCTTGTTCCTCTTTAAGAATTTTGACCAGGGCGCTTCCTCTTTATTGTGTGTCATCAGAGGCTATGACTCAGTTTTCCCACTCAAGGTTTTCTTTCTCCAGCTTAAACTCCCTATTTGGTAAGTGGTATGTGAGATCTGTTCTGAACTTGTGAATATATGATATGACTATCTTTGAAATTATTCCAAGGTTCTTGTGTGTTCCAAAGGAAACAGACCCAAATAACAGCCCCTTCCTCCCAATGTGAATGGAATAATTCCTTTATCTGTATGATTCTGAAAGGAAGAAACCTGGGTAATATAAATGAAAAAATTAATAAATTGCTTTAAGGAAAAAAATTACTGGTCTAGAGTTAAGGACATATAACACCAGGAACACACACATAAGAATGTGTGTGTGTGTGTGTGTGTGTGTGTGTGTGTGTGTGTGTATTGTTGTTATGTACCATCAAGTCGCCTGCGATTCATAGCGACCCTATGTACAACAGCCCTAAACCCTGCTCTATCCTGTGCCAATCTTATCGTCTCTAACACACCTACCCCCATTACCCAAGTCACTGAGTCAGTCCATCTCATCGAGGGTCTTCTTCTCTTGCACTGTCCCTCCACCCTCCCAAGCATGATGTCCCTCTCCAAGCACTGGTCCTGTCTACATCCTTTGGACATTTGTTCAAAGTAAGCCAGACAAAACGTCAAAATCCTGTTTGTTCTCCTAGCAGTCCATGGTATATTCAATACTCTTCTCCAGAACCAGAGCTCAAAGACATTATATATATATATACACACACACACACACACCCCACTGAGTTGGAACCGGCCCATTGCTGACCCTCTGGCAAGTTTATGTAATTTTATTAGTTATCAAAAGAATATATACAGTTTTAAAAATATATATATATTTTAGTGTAAGTGGGCATCTGAGTATGTGTGGATTAATTGTTGTTGTTATGTGCCGTCGAGATATTTGTGACTCATAGAAACCCTTTGAACAAAAGCCCTGAAGCCTGCTCTATCCTGTGCCTACCTAATTGCCTCTAACATACCTACCTTCATTACCCCAGTCATATATATATAGATAGATATCTCAGATATCAGTCTGGAGACTAAGGTGCATCTGATCCAGGCTATACTCTTTTGCAATTACTTGCTATGAATCAGAAAGTTGGACAATGACTTGGGATGATAGAAGGAGAGTTGAGGCCTTTGAGCTGTGGTGCTAGAGAAGAGTATTGAATATACCATGGACTGCCAGGAGAAAAAAACAAGTAAAACATGAACTCATTCATAAATATAAGCACTCTGTCACACTCAAATGCACGCATACACAGACCCCAGCACATATTATTCCAATGCAAACACTGACACACATATAAGCATTCTCATAAAACCCAGACATCCTCAGACACATTACATGGTATATCACACACACGCATGTTCATACGGTTGTCATTCATCCGTTCGTTCATTCAACAAGAATGTAACTGAACCAGTGACCATGTGTGGAGCCCAACTCTTAGCGCCCCCTTGTGTGTCAGAGTAGAACTGTGTTCCTTGTGCTGTGACTTCTAAAGGGTCATCTGGTCTGAGGAACTTCCGGGTGGGTTCTTTTAGCACCCCAGTGCTTAACCTACTGCATCACCCAGTACTTAATGAATTTCCACCATGTGTTGGCTCAAAGAACACACTCAAAAACACTATATTCTATGCCTGACCCTATTTGCATGAGTTGTTGTGTGCCATCGAGTTGGAATTGACCCATAGCTGACCCTCCAGGGATGAACCTCCAGCAGGTTTTCCGAGGCAGTTAATCTCAGAGGAGATTGTTCATCCTCCCTCTGCGGGAGCTTTGCAGCTGGTGGTTCCGAACTGCGTGCCTTTGGGAGTGCAGCGCAGCTTTTAACCTCTAGGCCACCAGAGCTCCCTTAATGCCTGGGAAAGCATGTAAATGAGAAAGAAACTGGCCAGGGCTGGTGCACAGCCCACAGATCGGCAGGGTACTCTCAGGCCCGCCCACTCCCGAGGCCCCTCCGCTCCGTTCCCTTCCGTTCCCGGGCCGCCTTCCTACCCGGTAGGGCCGGGCCGCGTCGTCCAGGAAGCGCACGGTGTGCGCGCGGTGCTCCTCGGCCTCGCGGCACACCACGCACAGCTGCGCCTCGTCGTCCTCGCAGAAGAAGTAGACCTTCTCCCAGTGCGCCCGGCAGGTGTCCTCCTCCACCTGGCTGGTGCTCGGTGACGCCGCCAGCTGCAGGCGCTCGATGTTGTCCACCACGCTGGCCAGCTGCCAGTTGGGCCGGAAGCCCCATGGGCGGAAGGGCTCCTTGCACAGCGGGCAGGTGGGCGTCCCCTCCAGGTCCAGGCCCCGGATCTCACAGTAGCGGGTGAGGCAGCTGTGGCAGAAGTTGTGGCCGCAGTCGATAGTGATCGGCTCCCTCAGGGTGCCTTGGCAGATGGGGCAGTTGACCTCATCGGCCAGGTTGGTCACAGAAGTGACTGCAGCCATCTTGGTGTTGCTGTGCGTGAATCGGGATTCAAACTAGATCCTCTTTGCTTGATAGAAGGGAAAGGGCTGGGAAAGCAGGTCACACACTCATACAACTACCCGCGCACAAGGCCAGACACAGGGACATCTCAACTATGCCCTAGGACCCACACAGTCACAAACACACACAGGCATGGCCACACACAAGCCCAGTCACAAGGACGAAGCGCTCACTTGCATCTCTGCCAACTGGAGTTGTTTGATCCGGCTCTCTGAAAAGAAGGGACATATCTCCAAAAGTGAGGAAAGGCTGCTTTTAAGAGCTGGCCTCAGTTATTCTCCAGAGCTGTGTCCATGGCCTGGATCTCACTGTTCCTTCTTGCTGGAGGCACAATAACAAGGAGGCAATGATCTCTCGACTGTACTTAGCTGAGCTTTTTTTGAGGGGCAGAAGGGGAGGAGGGCAGAGCAGTGGTGCCACCCAGCCTTCCCACAGTATAGCCAGCTGTCTCCAGGAAGATTGGTGTATCAGCCACTCCAGAGAGCTGCCATCAGTATGGGCACTTAGATAAAGTCGTCGTGTCTGGGCGTGCACGGCTAGACAACTTCAATGGTGATGCCCCAATTGCCTCTACATGAGGTAGAGGTGTACCTGCATGGAGGAGGCAGAAGAAACATAGCCATGATCAGTCAGCATATATTTATGATAGCTGTGTATCTCACACCTGCTATCAGCCACTTAATCACACGATCTAAATCACATGATCTCCTGCCTGCTCTGTGATGTAAATCCAGTCAGGAGCTCTAAAGAGCAGTAAAGCAGACAACTGAGGCTCAGAGAGGCTCTTTAACTTGCCCAAAGTTACGGAGCGGGAAGGTGGGTGAGATCAGTCTGTCTCCAGAGCAGTGATGTCCAATAGAAAGATAGTGTGTGCCATATATGTAATTTAAAATGTTCAAGTAGCCATATATTAAAAAGTAAAAACTGGTGAAATTATTTTTTTCTCTTTTTTATTGGTTTGCATGCAGAGTGGATTATATTTGGGGTTGGGGGTGGGGTTGGGGGATGTGCAGGGGGGATTGTGTACCAATGAGGGAGTTTTTCTTTTGCTTTTCAAGGAGAGGAGCAAAGGGGGGGGGGGGGGGGGGGGGGGGGGGGGCGGGGAGAAGGGTGCAACAATGAATGAATGGAATTCCAAAATCTCTGTAGATGTTCATTGAAATGAAAAATAAATAAATTCATTAATAAAAATAATAATTGTTTACATTTGTGTTTCATTCACTTACATTATGTTTTATATAATCTTTCACTTACACTATGCTTCTTACAATAAAGTCTGTATCTCTTGTATGCTTCTCTGACTTCCTTTCCTTTAGTGATGTGCCAATCACCGTTATTATTTATTTTAGTGATGTATTTTGTTTAGGCCAGCACACCTAAAATACTATCATTTCAACACATAATCTTTATAAAAATTATGAATGAGCTCTTTGACATTCATTTTCATTTGTGCTGTATTTTTTTAAATCCAGGGTGTATTTTACATATACCCACCCACTGCCATTGAATCAATTCTGAGTCTAGAATTGCTCCATAGTATTTCCAAGATTGTAAATCTTTATGGAAGCAAAGCACCTCCTCCTTCTCTTACAGAACAGCTGGTGGGTTTGAACTGCCAAACTTTTGACTAGCAGCTGAATTCTTTAACCACTATGCCATATAAAAAGGGCTCCTTCTATTTCCTTTGCATCTCAAGTTAAACTTTCCACCTTTCAATGCTCAGTAGCCACACATGATTGGTGGCTCACATTTTAAACACCATGGTCTCAGAGCCAAATAGGATGTTGTCCCAGTTGCCACCAAGTGGCCTGCAAACTCACAGCAATCTCATGTGTGATGGAGTAGACCTGAGCTCCATCGACTTTTCAATGCCTGATTTTTTGGATATGGGTGGCTAGAACTTTCTTCAGAGATGCTTATGGGTATTGAACCTCCAACCTTTTGCTTGGCAATCAAATGTGTTAACTGTTCTCACCTCTGTAATTAGAATGAAATGGGGTGCTGGGTTGACCCTTTAGTGAAGATCTGGAAGGAAGTTTGGTTTTCTCCATAAATGCAAAGTGGCAGCTAAGTGGATAAAGAACCATGGCTAGAAGTGGCAAGTGGACAAAAACCAGTTGCTTTGGCTTAAAGTGTAAATACAAGCCCAGGGCTTGAAGAAAAGAAACTTGGGTTGTTCCCAGATTGCTGCTTTGTAACCATGGGACCTTTGGAATGTCACTGTACCTTCCAGTTCAAATTTCTTTTTCTGTAAAATGAAACTAATGATACCTACTCCCAGGTGGCTGTCAGAATTGGATGTAATAGTATAGGAACACTAAGACCTAGATTAATGTGGTTGAATCTGTTTGTCTTTTGACTAATTGAGCCTTTTAAACTTTATCAATGCAATAAATCTTTGCATTATGGTTTCTTGTCTTAACATACATGCAATTGAAATAATATCAATGTCTGATGTGACCCGAATTCCAGTGGAGACCATGGCACCAGGTCGTGGGGAGAATTAGGAGTGAAGCAAATGAGAGAGGAGATGGAGACAAGGAATGGAGGGCAGAGGAGAGTATCTGATGAGCAATCTTGAGTTCCCCCAGAGTGTCCGGAAATCACACCCACTCCCTCTTGGACTTTGCTGCCATGGACACACCTCATTGCTATAAGTTTATGGTTCTCACTTGCTCAGTCTGATAGGAAGTGTCCCCTTCCCAGTCCTTCCCACCCTTCTCTGCTGAAGGGACAGGTTTCAGGAAGCTCGTCTCTCTGAGGCTTCACGTCATGCCCTGCTCCTCATCCCAGAAGACATAAGCAGCCATAACAGACCCTCAAGGAAAGCAAGCTCCCTTGCCTGCCACTGGGAAATGCTAGGTAATTCAAAAGAACCTGGAGTTTGGACCTACTCAGCTGATGGGTGGTGGCCAGGGAGGGGGGTAGTGGGGAGTAGGGAAAGAACAAGAGGTGGAGCCAGGCAACTTCCGGTCCTCATAGTCCTGTTTTTCTCTCTAGATCTCGTTTTCATTTCCCTTTGAGACTCACTTAAAAGTGATTGCATTTTAGGGAAACGTCATTCGCGTGGAAAGAGCCAGAGGCCTAAGGCATCTGGACAAGGCATTGTGATGCCCTCAACCTCCTCCCTGACGACAGTTCAAGAGGAGGCCACTTGTCCTGTCTGCCGGGGGCCCTTGGAGCATGCAGTGACTGCCACCTGTGGACACACCGTCTGCCTGCCCTGCCTGCCCCTACCCTCCCAGATGGGGGCCCACCAATCTAGCAGGGCCCTGTTATGCCCCTTCTGCCAGCCAAAGGACCATCCAGAGAACCTCATAATCCCCACGCCCCTGGGTCCTCTAGGAGAGACCTATTGCGAGGAGCATGGTGAGAAGATCTACTTCTTCTGTGAGAATGATGCGGAGTTCCTTTGTGTGTTCTGCAGGGAGGGCCCCTCTCACCAGGCCCACACCGTGGGCTTCCTTGACGAGGCCATTCAACCCTACAGGGTAAGAAGTGTGGTTTTACCTCAGGCCTACTTAGTGCAAGACTGTGTCTTATAAGGGGGTGTAGGGAACAGCTTGGGGATCTGGATGAAGGAACTGGAAGCCGTAGGACACGTTATTAGTAACTTCGACTGAGTCAGCCCTCAACTTAACCTGTCTTATTACCATCAAGTCAGGCCCGATTCTCACTCATTGCCACTGAGTCGTAACCAACTTGTATTTGGCCCTGCAGTGGGTTTTCAGAGGTTGTCTATCACATGGAAGTAGATTGCCCATCTTTCCTCGGAATTGGAATCATCAACCTCCTCAACTCATACTGACCCTGTATGTTGTAAAATGAACTATCCCATGGGGTTTTCTCAGCTATATTTTTTACAAAATGCAGATCACTAGAACTTTCTTCCTCAAAGCTGATAAATGTGTTCACACTTCGAGCTTTCAGGTCAGCAGCTGATTGCAAATGGCTTGCACCACCCAGACTCTTCCTGATGCCACAGGGACACTAGGAAAAACCCCCAAGACTGATGGGTAGAGATGGTTCCATTTGAACGTGTGGGAGTTCATGGTCTTAGAGCTTCCCTTCCAGCCCTCAGAGTTCCACAGTGATGGATCTAACCCCCACTTCTCTGTAAGTCCCATAGTGGCACTAAGAATTGTATACCCCCCAAAAAAAATAATTGCATCCCTAACTTGGGAAGGAGAGCCCAGTGCAGAGGAGTCTCTGTAGCATTTGAACAGGAGGCACTGGTCTTACAGATGGAGGATTTACCTGAACTGATGGGACTTAGAGGGAAGTGAAGGAAGGGGAAACGGTACCGGTAGCTTTTCTTTCAGAGAAAGAAAGATGGCAGTAGCCCAGCATTGAAAGAACTTCTCATCTGATTTCGAACATTATTCATTCCTCTCTGCCTCTTCAGATCTTTTTCTTGTCATCTGATCACTAGGTCTTGAAGTGGTTTCTTTAGAAACACCTCTTAATGTTGTTCACTTGAATCTTAATTTTGCCGTATTATCACAAACCAAAAACAAAACAATAGCAATACTAAAATCTCCTTGCCTTGTTGATTCCAACTGGTGCTGACCCTTGTGTTACAGAGTAGAATTTCTGTATAGGATTTTCTTGGTTGTGATCTTATGGAAATAGAACACCGAGCCTTTCTTCCATGTATCACTGGGTGAGCTTGAACCTACACACTGTTAGGCTGGTCTCCCTCACTCATTGCCACCTATGTAGGTTTCAACCTATAGCTGACCCTCCATCAGGTTTCTAAATCACATGGCAAGAGACAACCCAGTTTTCTCCCAAGGAGTAGTTGGTGGATTCGAACTGTGAGGGAAGCTAGGTTTTTGGGTTAGGAATGCAGTTCCTTATACTCTAAGCCATCAGAGCTTCCTTTTATGTTAGTTGTTGTGTACTGTCAAGTTGAAACCAATTCAAAGCTGACCCTTCAGCAGGTTTTCAGAGGCAGTAAATTGCACAGGAGGAGATTGTTCATCTTCTCCTGTGGAGCCGCTGGTAGATTAGAACCAAATGTGTTTGATATGGCAGCACAACTCCTTACCCACTAAGCCACCAGAGCTCTTTTAGGTCAGTAGTCCCGTTCAAACTAGCTACTGCCAAATCCAGCTTTGCTCTATCACTCACTCAGACTTTATATGATCTGTAATGTGTCCTTTGTTGCCATTCTCAGTCTTTCCACGTACCCTCCAATCTGTTTTGATGTAGATCTTCCTGAAATTCAATGCTAATAAGTCAAGTCATTCCCTTGGTCAAAATCTCCCCAGGATTCCTCTTGTTAGGTGTTGTTGAGTCAACTATGATTCATAGTGACCTTACTGAACAATACATCAAAACCTTACCCTATCTTGAACCAACCTCACAAGCTCCTCCATGCTTAAATTCAGTGTTGTCCATCATGTCAGTCCTTCACATTGAACGACTTCCTATCTTTTGCTGGCCCTCTACTTTCCCAAGCATTATGTCTTCTCCCAAGGACTAGCACCTCCCAGTGAGTGACATACCCAAAATATGTGAGACAAAGTTTCACCATCCTTGCCTTCAAGGAGCAATCTGGTTTGGTTATTCTTTTGGCCAATCCATGGGATATTTAACACTCTCTGCCAACACTACACTTCTCTCTTTCGAACAGCACCAATTCTTATTCATTGTCCAACTTTCACATGTATATGACTCACTCAGTCATTCCCACTGAGTGAGAACTGGCTCCTAGCTGACCACTAGAGGATCTGCAAAGATTGGCTCAGGAGGGGAGTGTCCCTCTTTCTCTCACAGAACAGCTAGTGGTCTCAAACCACCAGAAAGGTGATACCTTTGGGGGAAAAGCTGCCACCTTAAAAATACCATGACATAGATCAGATGCAACTTGGTCTTTAAACTGAACTTACTTCTTAGTAATTTCAAGGAGTCCTTGACAAAAGATTTGCCACCTTTTGATTTCTTGACTGCTGCGCTACTCTTAAGTGAATCCCAGTTGTTGTGAATCCCAATGAAATGAAATAATTGACAATGTCAACCTTTTCTCCATCAATCATGATGTTGCCTGTTGGTCCATAGATCTCTGGGGCCCTCCAAAACCTTAATGTCTCTACTGAGGTATTCAAGACCCTTTGAAATCAGGTTTCTGCTTTCCTTTAAAGTCTATGGGAATTTTGTATTTTAATCACGCTTAGCTGCCCTCCCCCCATGTAGCCAGTCTGAACTGTGCTTGCTGTTCCCTTGCTTAACTGTAGAGTCTTTCCTGCTCTGAATAATTTACAAATACTTCCTCCTTAAACACCCTTTCTTTCCTCGCTCATCCTACTCCAAGTTTATCTTCCCAGGCCCACTTTATGTGTTTTCTGCTTTCTAAAACCTCCCCCCAGCCCTCCAGGCAGAGTTACCACCTTGTCACAGGAAGCTTGGTGGCATGTTAGGAGAAACAGTTGCCTATTTACCAAAAAGGTTTAAATCCACCAGAGAAAGTCAGAGTCTGCTTTCTTAAAGATTAACAGCCTCGGAAGGCTGTGGTGTCCTGTAGGGTCACTATGAGTCAGAATCACAGCAGAGGGTTTTTTTCTTTCTCTTTCCCATAACTTGTTTGCATTCCTCTTTATGCATCTTAATAATTGATGATTAACTCCTTCCTTAGATAGGATAAGAACTGGCCCTGGTTTACTTTCAAATTTCTCAGCACTTAACAGTGTGCCTGGAACTTGGTACCAAGACTGAACTTGTTGCTGTCAATTCCAACTCAAGGCTCCCCACGTGTTAGAGCAGAACTGCCTCGCAGGAAAATCTTGGCTGTAATACTTATGGAAGCAGATCACTAGGATCAGCCCTTTCTTCTGCAGCATCACTGAGGGTCTGGAAACACCAATCATTCAGTTAGAAGCTAAGAGCAAAGCATTTGCACCACCCAGGAATCTTCTGGAACAAAATAAACGATCAATACGTATGAATGGTTATTAATTCAGCCATTTTTTTCCACCCATTCTCTCCATAGGAACGCCTCAAAAGCCGATTGGAAGCTCTAAACATGGAGAGAGAAGAGATCGAGAACACAAAGCGTCGAGAAGATCAGAAGCTCCAAGTCCTTCTGGTAAAAGTCACCGTAATCACCTACCTTCTCTGTGAGGAATTGTCTTCAAATCCTGGGGAAGTCAATTGCCTAGCTGCTGAGGTGGGAAGACCTGGGAAATTATTTTCATTTACGTCAGAGCTGGCAGTAGTTTTGACATCTTGTAATCAAAGATGGAACTTATCATCCGCTTTCCACAGAGCAGAAAACCAAGTTTCAGAGAAATGATGCTCAAGGCTACCCAGCAAAACCCAATTCACAAGGAAATGGCTAGAACCTGGGTCTCTAGACTCTTAGCTGATTGCTCTTCTCACCCCAGCACTTGCAAGTATTGCTTTCGGATGGGAAACTGAGATCCGGAATGTGTATGTTAATACATTGGTCCTAATACGGGACAGGAAACTGTCCCTGAAGAGGGTGGGATAATGATGTGGTGATTTATGGCCCTCTCGCCTCCTTCTTTGTTCATGCTGCAAAATTATCAGTAAGAAGCCCACAGTGAAGGAATTTTCCTCATAAGGGAGACAGAGTTTGTGGGCAGGAATATCTCCAGCATTCTTAAACTCCCATACCCTTCTGCTAAGCTATGTTGACCCTAGCCACAGCTTCCTATGCTGTCAGCTTCAGAGAAAATAACATTATTTTCTCCACTAACTCTAAGGAAGGTATGGGGAGGTGGCAGTATTGTCGATGTGGAAGGATTTTTGAAAGGTTCAAATGAGAGCATAAAATAGCATTATTATAATAATTTCTAGGTAAGACAACAGCATAGACGCTATTCAATTTGACGCTGATAAATTCATCATGTTGCGGTGTACTGTCAACTTTAAACCAACTCATAGCTGACCTTCCAGCAGGTTTTCAGAGACAGTAAATCACACAGATGGTTAAAACCTATCTTTCTTCCACGGAGCAGCTGGTGGATCCAAATCGCGTTCCTCTGGGCTGGCAATGCAACTCCTTACCATTAAGCCGTCAGAGCTCCCTAATTCATCATAAACTTCCTGCAAATCTACTTGATTGTTATTTGGGGGAATGAGTCTTGAGACTAGCTACTCAACACTTCTCTTAAACCATATTAAATATTTGATCATCCTCCTGGAATGTAGCTCTGTGAACCCTCACTAACTGTATCTATCTTTCTTAACTCTGGCAGACTCAAATTGAAACCCAGAAGCTCCAGGCGCAAGCTGCTTTTGTGAGGTTGAGGCAGGAGCTGGAGGAACAGCAGCGACTCCTGCTGGCGGGGCTAGAGGACTTGGAACAGCAGATCCGGGAGGAGCGAGATGAGTACATATTGAAGATCTCCGAGGAAATGGCCCGACTTGGAGCCCAAGTCAAAGAACTGGAGGGAAAGTGTCAGCAGCCAGCAAGTGAGCTCCTGAAAGTGAGAGAACCCACTTCCTACACCTTATGGGATAGAGGAGGAATTCCATAGAAAGGGGACACTATGTGCTGGGCTGAAAGATGCTGGAGAGAGGAGAAAGGCAAATAGAGATAACCTCTAACAGGAGTGTCTGGTGCTCATGGGGTTTCCTGGCTCAGACAGATTACAAAGATACAGACCCAGAGAGGCTGGATGACTCGCCTACATTTTATTCCGTGGTCATGTCACAAGCTGTGGTATCAGCCAGTCTTGGGTTTGTGACTTAGACATGGGAACAATAACACTTCCCTCACAGAGTTGTTACAAAAGTTATAACAACAAATTAATCTAAGATGCATTTCGTGGTCCTTGGCACACAGCAAGAACTCAATAAAATATTGGAATAATCATGATATTACCTAGGTTTACAGCAGGTCTGGGTGGTAACTCAAGGCCTGGGCCCTGCTCTCTCTGTTAATTGTTGGAGATCAAACACACCAGGATAAGGCTGAGACAGAAAAATCATTGAATATATCCCCAGTTAGTAAGGAAATATGATGCAAAAGAAAAAGCTAATGAGTAGATGATTAAAAGGTAGGTCTCTTTGGAGGAGAGGAAGTTTGAGCCAATGTTTTTAAGGAGGAAAAGCCGTCTACTGTCACTGAGTCAATTCTCATAGACCCTTCAGGACAGAGAAGAACAGGGTGGAGGGTTCACCTCCAAGGCTGGAAATAGACTTCTCTTTCTTGCACAGAGTGGTGTGGGCTTGAACCACCAACCTTTTGGTTGGCAGATAAATTACTTAACTGCTGTACCATCAGAGATCCTTTTATTTAATTGAGATTTTAATGAAAGTTTATAAAGAACTTGCATTTCCATTCATTCATTGTTACACATTTTCCTCCCTGATCCCCTACCCACCCAGTTTGCTTTTTTCTTCGGGGAAAAAATAGAAGTTCTTTCATCATTATACAGTTTCCTACCCCTCCCCTCCAGACCACTTTATTATGCAGCTCTTTTTCTGGACTTTTGTCATACCAATAATACCTAATCATATATTCCTTTTATACAGTTTTCTCCCTCATCTGTTTTAATGCCGTGTACATTATTTATCTCCTCTTTTCTTAGTTTCCCTCCAACCCTCATGTCAGTCCTATAACAGTGGCATTATGCAATATTTGTCTTCTTGTGGCTGAGATAATTCCACTCAGCATAATGTCCTCCATGGTCACCCATTTTGTATAATATTTCATGAGTTCTTTGTTGTTAAGTGCTGCATAATGTTCCATTGTGTGAATATAATACAACTTCTCTATCCATTCTTTTGTTGATGGGCACTTAGGTTGTTTCCAACTCTTTGCTATTGTGAACAAAGGAGCAATAAACATGGGTGTGCATATCTGCTTGGGTGGCAGTTCTGGTTTCTTTAGGGTATATTCCCAGTAGTGGAATTGCTGGGTCAAATGGAATTTCTATTTGCAACTTAAGAAAATGCAATACAGCCTTCCATAGTGGTTGCACCATTTTATACTCCCACCAATAGTGAATAAGGTTTCCAGTTTCTCCACAACCTCTCCAGCATTTGTTGCTTGCTGCTCTGTTAAATTTTACTGTTCTTCCTGTGGTGAGATGATATCCCATCTCATAGTTGTTTTGATTTTCATCTCTCTTAGAGCTAGGGATTTTGAACATTTCTTCATATGTTTGTTTGCTATCTGAATGTCTTCTTTGGTGAACTGTCTGTTCATATCCTGTGCCCATTTTGCAACAGTGATCCTTTTAAGGAAAGGAAACCAAAGCTAAGCAGACCCACTGGCATCAAGTGGATTTTGATTCATGGTGACCATCATATACTTTTTGGAGGAGACTGTCAATCTATTTGTCTCCCACAGAGTGACTGGTGGATTCGAACTGCAAAGTTTTGGTTTAGAGGCCCAACATGTAACCTGTCATGCCATCAAGGTTCCTTTGAGGAAGGGAGGATGTGCAGAAACCCCAAGGGGAAGGGTATGTGAAAACTAAGTATATGTTCTTTTCTTTCTTTTGTAGGATGTCCGAGTCAACCAGAGCAGGTAGGTCCCACTCCCCAGTCCTGCCTCTTTTATGCATATTGAGACTGAAGGGACAAACTCATGGCCTCTGCTCAGGGATGCTGCACAGAAAAGCCAAGCACTCTGCCTCATTCACAAAACATACACAAAAAGGTGCAAACTCACTAAAGGCTGGTGTTCTCCATGTTCAGTTTTGAGCCAACATTTTGGTATTTGAACCTATTTCCACTACCTCCTTGAATGAAGTTGTAAATAGTAATTGTGTCTTTGGACTGACCAGGAAACATAGACTTAATCTATGACATTATTGGTACTAATATCAAAGTCTAACACATTTGACATGCAATTCTAAAAAAAATCTTTTCTATAGACTGTGATAAACATGGAAAACTTGGGAAAATCAGAAACGTTTTTCCTCTTTCTTTCCAATTTTCCTTTCAGGAGCTGGGATACATTGGAAATATGTGCTGCTTCCTTTTCCTCCCGGTGATAAGCATTAGCAGTCAAACATGAGATGTGAACAGACATAATGACTAGTAATACTTGTCAGGTGGTGTCTGTGTATTCCTGAGGAGAGGAGGCCAAATCCATATTTCTGTGAATCAGGACGGGAACTCTGGTGATCTAGTAGTAAGGACATGCACTCGCCCAGAGTCACTTGGTTACTATCTCCCTAATGCTCCTTTGGAGAAAGATGAGCAATCACTTCCTGTACAATTTATAGCCTCTGAAAACCTGCTAGAGGGTCAGCTATAACTGAGTTTTGACTCAATAGCACAATACAACAATAACATGAAACAGGAATATCTCTGAACATGCATTTCAAAATATGTTAGAGATTTTGATTTGGAAAGACCGTACAAAACTTCTAGTTTGATAAAGAAATGGAGCCCTAGAGGGTGAAGTATTTGCTCAAAGTCATAGGCCCAGTGGCTTATGAAAAGATAGGACTTAAATCTTGGGTTTTTTCATTGCACCTTATCTTCTTTCTTTCCATCTCTACCTCTTCCTCTTTTACACAATAGAGCTCATATTAGAAATAATCAAGGGCTGTTTGTCAAATGGTGCCATACTTCCCTCTAGAGCCTTTTTTAGGCTCCCAGACAGTCTCTTGGGAGGACTTAGATTTAATTCCTGACAAGTAGTTCCCTTTACTTCCTCTTAGGTCTACCGATGTGCCTTTTGCGTTAGTAACTTTATTTCCAACTCACTCCCTGCTGTTGAGTTGGAACTGACTCATAGCTGATGCTCCAGTGGATTGGGAAGGCTGTAAATCACATGGGTAGGAGACTGCCTGCAGAACTGCTGGGGGATTGCAACTGGTATCACTTTTGGGTTAGCGGTGCAACTCCCTACAAACTACGCCACCAGAGAACCCAAAAGAGCACCCCAAAGTGCTGCTGATTCAGTTGGTAGAGGGTGAAACTTATTCTCAGGGTTGTGGAGGTGTATAGTTCCAACAAAGTTAACAAGATGATACCCAATACAGTCATTCACACTGTCCACAATGCCATTCTTTAGTCTAGCCTTACCCTTACTTGGTCTATAACACCCAAAGCTTATTTTTGGAATTTGGACCTAACAGATTACCAACTTGTCTTCAGGTGTGAGACGAAGACTTTTGTGAATCCAGAGGCCATTTCTCCTGACCTTGTCAACCAGATTCGCTATCTCTACAAGAAAATCCCCCCTCTCCTAGACATGATGAGAAAGTTTGCAGGTAAGGGGGCAGGAGCCACAGCTTACCTCATCCTCATTAGTTTCCTTTATGCTTTCTGCCCACCTTCACATGTCCTGTCTTCAAAACCCAGCTCAAGTTGTGTCCCTTAGGTAAGCCTTCTCATAGTGATCCCACACTACTCAGGGGAACATTCTCTATAGCATCTCCTCCAGTTCTCCTAGAGCAGTGCTCTGTGTCCCAACACTGGACTCTCCAGGAAGATGAGGACCTTTTTCCTCCCACTAGGCCATTGAGTCAGAACCCATTCATAGTGCTGACCCTCTAGTGGGTACCAAGAGGCAGTAAATTACATGGGAAGAGATGGCCATCTTTCGTCTGAGGAGCAGCTGATGGATTCAAAATGTGTGCCTTTAGATTGGTATCTCAACTCTTTATCACTAATCCACTAGGGCTCTCTCTAGTGTCAGGGCCATAGCATATGCCTTCTATCCTGGTCCTCACTCTGCACCTAGGATGCAATGGGGTTGGAGTGGGAGGAGTGGTACTTATAAAAAACAAATTACAGACTTTCTTTCTGTTTCTCTCAGAAAACGTGGTGCTTCACCTGGAAACAGATTCAGGTAAACATTTGGGGGTGGAGAGATGATGGTGGTTGGAAGCTATTAATTCATTCAACTCATGGCAGCAGACAGAACAGTTAGACACAAGAGCTCCAGAACCTCATTATGTGGGTTCCATATTCTAGCTTTTGCTAGACAGATAACACTGGACAAGTTATGCAAGGTTTAGGGCTGTTGTACATAAGGTCGCTTTGAGTCGCAGGCAACTCGATGGCACATACCAACAACTGTAACCACACTGTTGATGCCCGCTCTCTCCTCCCTCTAGGGGGCGTCACCCTGGACCCGCACACCGCCAACTGGAGCCTGGTCCTTTCCGAGAACCGGAAGTCAGCGAGGCACACCCGGAAAAGGCAGAACCTCCCGGACAGCCCGCTGCGCTTCGAGGGGCTCCCGGCGGTGCTGGGTTCCCCCGGCTTCTCCTGTGGCCGCCACCGCTGGCAGGTGGAGGTGCAGCTGGGAGAGGGCGGCAGCTGCGCGGTGGGGGTCGCCCAGGAGGCGGTGAGGAGGAAGGCAGGCCCGGGGCTGAGCGCTGACGAGGGCATCTGGGCCGTGATCTTCTCGCGCGAGAGGTGCTGGACCACCACCGCCCCCGGCACCGACCTGCGGCTGGACGAGACCCCGCGCCGCGTGGGCGTCGCCCTAGACTGCGAGGCGGGCCGGGTGACCGTCCTCAAAGCTGAGACGCAGGTGCCGATCTTCACCTTCACTGCCTCTTTCTCGGGTAGAATGTGTCCTTTCTTTGCCGTCTGGAAAAAGGGCTCTAGCTTTACTTTGAAAGGATCCGATTGGTGGCGCAGAGGGGAAAGCAGTACCCAGGGATCCTGCTCATCACCTAGTCAGCTGCCTGACCTTGCGCGACTCATTGTCCCCAAGTGAGAAGTGACAACTACTCATCTTGGAGTCACTCGCAGCTTTGTGGTTTCTTTTATTTCATTCCTTGGAAATCTCTGACATCTGACCTCTGGATGGAGAGCCAGAGTCAGGCAAGACTGTGCCAGGACACAGGCAAAGCAGGAGCCAGCGAGTTGTTGGAGGACGGCGGTGTATATATTATTTTAAATCTTCAGAATAATCATGAGAAAATCAGAGTTTTGTTGAGCTTGTACGAATCTTACTTGACTATTTCAACATGCCTGTGGGAAATGTAGGCATGATGACTGAGGGCCTTCAAATGCAGCTCCAAATGGATGTGGGCCTCTGTACTGATCCCCTTCAAGTCATTTCTCTAGATCTGTAGAGAATATCCTAATAAACTGTGTGACACATAAAAGTTGTGCATTTTACACGACTAATCGGTGTTGATGGGCTGAAAGAAAACCCTCATGTTGGCATGGTGACAATTTGGTATTGAGGTCAGTGTCCGAAGGGGGACAGGGCAGGAGAAGGTGCAGAAGGAATGGTCCAGGCCACTCGATCAAAACACCATCTTTAATGTCTTTTTTTAAAACAATCATTGTTACCGCTGAAAATCAACACAAACGTACACTATTCACCAGTTTCTTCATATGCAATTCAGTGACACTGAATATTATTCAAATTATACAACCATTCTTACCCCTCATTTACAAATTATTTTTCTACTGTTTGTTAAACTCACTGTTCCTATGTTTCTGGTTACTATTATAAGTTTGGTCCCTTATAGTTCTTTAAAGGAGCACAATCCCCAAGGTAGAGTCTTTGCTAATTATGCCAATTTTTTTGTTTGACTTAAAGAAGACATCGGGATATTTTTGTTTCAAATTTGAAAATCAGTTGTTTCTGGGGTTCACTCAGTCTCAGTGGCTTCAGAAAGTCTGAATTCTAAGAGAATTTGAAGTTCTGCGTATTTCCCCCCTTTTAATTGAGATTTTCTATAGAATCTTTAAGCAAAAGTTAAGTAATGGTAGCTAGGCACCATTCAGTAATCTGTTAACAAGAGGAAAGAGGCAGTTATTCATGGAGATAAGTAACCACACATTCTATTGCCCTTTTCTATTTCTGATATTCCTTCCTCTACTGCTCTAGCCTAGTAAAGATAGACTGTTGTTCTTTAGATGATCACTTGGAAGCTTTTTAAGACTCCTAGCAGTTCTTCAACAAATGACACTGACAAAACGACATCTTCCCACAGAAAGCTGAAATAGGACCTGCATTTCACACCATACACAAAAATCAACCCAATGTAGATCAGAAGTCTACGGTTAAAGCCCCAAACCGTAAGGATAATAAAAGACAAAGCAACAACAAAAACCAAAACAAAGAAACTGAACTGAGAGGTCCTAGTCTATGGCATAAATAGGCTTGGAAATATAGCCAGAAATGCACAACCAAGAGAAGATAAAATCAACAACTGGGATCTTCTAAAAATCAAATCCCTGTGTGCACAAAAACTTCTTCCAATAAGGTGAAAAGAAAACCTGCAGACTGAGGGAAAACATTTGGCAATAACCTAGACAAGGCTGTCCTAAAAAAAGTGTACAAAATACCATGGGACCTCCACAGCAAAAAGATTGGTACATCATTAACAAAATTGGGAAAAGACATAAAAAGGAAGTTCACAAAGGAAGACATTCAGATGGCTAATAGACACATGAAGAAATGCTTAAATCACTGGCAATAAGAGAAATGAACATCAAAATCACAATGAGATACAATCTCACCCCAATAGCAGTAGCAGAGTTTAACAGGACAGCAAGCAATAAATGTTGGAGAGGATGTGGAGAGACTGGAACTCTCATGCACTGGGATTGCAAAATGGCACAATCACTCTGGAAGGCAGTTTGACATTTCCCCAAAATGCTGAAGATAGAAATCCCATATGACCCAGCTGTTCTACTACTTTGGAAGCAGGAGTGGTAATCATTTCCTAAACAACCTGCCTCCAAAAACTCTATGAACTTTGATAAATGTCGATGGTTGTAGAGGGGCTTTAGGCCTCTTATTCATAGAGTCTCTATGAGTGTGCTCAATTCGAAGACAATCATCAACAACAACATTCCTCTACTAGAAATATACCCCAAAGAAATTAGAACCAAGACACAAACAAAGATATGTATGCCTATGTTCATAACAACATTATTCACAATAACAAGATAATGGATACAGCCCAAATACCCATCAACAAATTAATGGATAGAGAAAACATGATACACTCAGACAGTGGACTACTATGCAGCACTAAGGAACAAGGATTTCATGAAATACTCCATAATAAAGCCTAGAGAGCATTATGCCTGAGTGATCTGTAGTGGTTAAGCTAACTAAATCAGGGATTGTTTGGGTCAAGAGAAAACTGTATTACGTGCACATTGTGAAAAAACAAGGAAAGCATTCCTAAATAAATACTGAATTGTTCAACAAAATAAAAGTATGTTAGTGACTAAGTGTCAACATATTCCTGTAAAGTCAGAATATTATGCCTTATAAGTACATGCATATGTAATATGTTTCAGAGAAAATATTCTTTAGCTAACTTGAAATTACTAATAAGAATGTAGCTATAAAAAAAGGAGAGGGTCCTTCCCAAGATGGCACACTCTGTTAACATCACGAAGCTGAATCTGCCACAACTAGAAATGCTCAAGAGCCTGCTGGACCAGGAAGTGGAGTTTCCATGTATGTCCATAGCCCAGCTCAAGGTGGTACAGACCAAATATGTAGAAGCCAAGGATTACCTGAACATACTGAACAAGAGCAATGAGGGGAAATAATTACTTGTCCCACTGACAAGTTCTGTGTATGTCTCTGGGAAGCTACATGATGTGGAACATGTGCTCATTGACGTGGGAACTGGCTCCTATGTAGATAAGACAGCTGAGGGTGCCAAGGACTTCTTCAAGAGGAAGATAGACTTCCTCACCAAGCAGATGGAGAAAATCCAGTCAGCCCTGCAAGAAAAACATGCCATGAAACAGGCTGTCATGGAGATGATGAGCCAGAAGATTGAGCAACTCACGGCTCTCGGTGCATCTCAGGCTACGGCTAAGGCCTGAGCTTTTTGAGAAATGAAGCAGAGGCACCTGCTTTTAGCAGCCTTGGACTCTATGACTTGACTCCTGGTGGGTGGAGGGGTTGGTGTAAGACTTGTGACTCTTATGTTTAATGTTAATAAATGTCCCAGCTTGGGGTGGGGGAAGGAAGAGCCATTGTAACAAGCAGCATGTCCTGTGTAAATCTCATGATTCTTGCTAATACTTTTCTCTTGCTTATGTATTGGAAAACTTCTCAATAAAAGCTAAGAGGATGTGCAAATGAAGAGGACACAACCATGAGTTCCTCTCCCCTTCCCTTTGGACTAACTAGAGTCTCAAGTAGTCTTTCCATTGCCCGTCACTTCCCTTCTGGTCAGAGAAGTGCAACAGTGGACTAAGTCTCATAAGGACAAGTACTGCCTAAGACCATTATTGTAAAAAGAGAAGGATAACGAGTAAGATGTTATAAATGTTCAGAAGGGGAAAGGGTGGAGGGGGTGAAAAATGAGGAAGGGTGGAAATGACTAGGACAGCAAAGTTTAGTGGCCAGATTGGGGATGTGTGTGTGAAGGAATAAGAAAGATTCAGTAGACACTCAAAAAGACTTAGATCTTTATAGGCATACAGGCAATAGATAGATAATAGGCGCAGATCAATGTTGTTGTTATGTGTCATTGATCTAACTATGACTCATAGCAACCCTATGAACAATGGCTCTGAACCTTCCTTTAGCCGACTTTACCATCTTTGACACACCTGACCCCACTGCCAGTCACTGTGTCAATTAATCTCATCCAAAGTCGTCTTCTGCACTGACGCTTTACTCTTCTAAGCATGATGTCCTTCTCCAAGGACTAGTCTCTCCTGATGACATGTTTAAGTAGGTGAGATGGAGCTCCAACATTCTTGCCTCCAAGGAGAAAACTGGTTTCACCCTCTCTAAGACAGTCCCATTTGTTCTCTTGGCAGTTCACGATATGTTCACTACATCTCTCCAGCACAACTCAAAGGCACTAAGTCTTCTGTCATCCTTATTCATTGTCCAGTTCTCAGATGCATAGCAAATTATTGAGATGACTATGGCCTGGATTAGGTGCATCTTAAGCTCTAGATTGATATCCTTGCTCTTTAGCACTCTGGAGAGATCATTGACAGCAGATTTTCCCAGTGCAACTCATCTTTTGATTTTCTGACTGCTAGTGCCAAGATTGTCAATTGTGGATCCAAGCAAGATGAAATAATTAACAACCTCAATCCTTTCTCCATCTATCATGATGCTACCTACTGGCCCTGTGGTAAGGATCCTTGTTTTCTTGATGTTGAGATTCAATCCATATTGAAAACTGCAGTTCTTGACCTTCTTTAGCAAACGCTTCAAGTCTTCTCAGTTTTGGCAAGAATGGTTATGTCACCTGTATACCGCAGATTGTTGATGAGTCTTCCACCAATCCTGATACCACATTCATCTTCATATAAAGTGCAGCCTCCCAAATGATCTGTTCCACATATAGATTGAAAAGGTGTGGAGGAAGGATGCATCTCGACTCCTTTCTTGATTTTGAACTGTGCTCCTTTACTCTGGACAACAGCTTCCTGGTCTCGTATAGGAGTCACATGAGCACAGCCAAATATTCCGGGATTCTCATTCTTCTCAACACTAGCCATAATTTGTTGTGATTCACACAGTTATAATGCCTTTCATAATGGATAAGACACAAATAAACATACTTTTGGTACTCTCTAAGCCATGATCCACCTAATATCCACAATGATATCCCTAGTGCAACATCCTCTTCTAAATCCAACTTGCATTTCTGGTAGTTCTTTGTTGATTACTGTTCTAGTCATTTTATGATAATCGTAAGTTAGATTTTACTTGCATGTCTATACTAGTGAAATTGTTCTATAATTTCCACATTATGTTGT